GCGTTCTTGTTGTCAGTTTCTATCCAGATTGCCTGAGTGAATGTCTGGAGGTGTAGGCACCTCGGAACGATTGTGTTAAGCTAGCACTAAGTCCCTTCCCCGTCCACCTTTATTCTTTTCAAATAAGTCATGGTTGTGCGGCAGTGAAGCATCGGTGTTGAACACTGATGTCATGCTGTCGATGATGATGATGCAGCAAAGCGCGTTCAGCTCTGGGGCTGTGTGCAACTCCCACGCCATATTTTTTGCAAGTAGTTGTTTCCACCGGACCGGACACACAAAGGGAGAAATATGAATTAGCTGAGTTCATCCGTGGCGTTCTGAGGTGCATAACCACGCCCAGCTTGTAGTTTCAGAGGTAGCTGAGTTCATCCGTGGCGTTCTGAGGTGCATAACCACGCCCAGCTTGTATGCTTGTTTCAGAGGCAGAGTATGCATTGGCTTTCAAGGAGTATACGGCCTGTTTGCCCTATACGGAGTACGGAAGTGAAAAGTACAATGTAAGGTTGTAAAGGTGTTATTTCGTGCATTTCCACTGGAGGGCGGCGTAGAAAGCGAAGAGAAATGTGTCGCCGGGCGAGTGTATGGTCAGATTCCGCACAGTTGTTTCGAAACCAGCGGCAGTCAGTCTGCGTCACTGGTGACTGCTGGCGATATGACCATTTTGGTTTCCTGGCTGGCACGCTGTTGGAACGATGTTAACCGTTGGACGTTCTGAGGCAGCGGCTTCTGGATTACGAGGTATGCCCAGCCTGAAGTGAGTGGGTAGTGATGAAGTAGTTAGCTTAATGAGTGTACATGGATCTTGGATCATTGTTTCTGGTACACAACACGCATCAATGTCAAGGCAGTCCAGTGAGTGAGCAAGAGCAGCTTGTTTTCCTGGTCGTTTTAGAGGGCGAATCTGAAAAAAACAACGAGAGACCGAGTATCGAGGCTTGAAACTTGATTTCAGGATGCCTGAGACTGTCCGTGCAATCTTACGACCACGATCGATACTAGAGGAACGAGTTTATCCGTGCTAACGGACGAATCTACGGGAAGTATTATTAGTGGAGGGAAGGGGGCATGCGGAGAAAAAAATATATGAAGTTCGGCACCAGCAATAGTTTGTTTTCACTTACCAGCCCCAGTATATGCAGCAAGTTAGGAGACCCTAATAATGACACCACCCGGCGGTCGATGAAGCATGACAATAATTTTATCTGTAGAAGCCAGTTGGTGCTCTTACTATGTAATCAAAATTTCATTCGAACCGTTGTGCTGAGAGCATTAAGAAAGTTGCGGCACCAAAGCTTCTTTGCTTTGAGGTGTTGCACAATCGGACACTGGTTAAGAAGTTTTGTTCCGTTAGGATATATTAGAAACTACTTGGCTGATATGACTGAAGCATATGCTACACGCATTCAGTTTTCTAGATTTCACGTTGTTCTTGTTGGTGAATGATTCATGGTAGACAGACAATGACGCGGCGACAGGAACCGAAGGGGACTACAGGCAAATTGGATGCTACAAAACCCTGTTACCTTCATGGTAATAGAAATGTGCCTGGAAGCTTCTTGAATGATACACCCGACCCCAGTTTAAACATCTCTTTTCCCAGCTGCGTTCCCTACCTAGCGTTTTTTCGTCATGCACTGGGTTTGTTTCACATAGGCTTGGTAGGACTACCTAGTCACTATCGCTAAACTCGCTGATGGTTTTAGCGGTGAGTTGTTCGTCTTTCTATTAAACATAAAATTAACATTTCAAATCTGGGATGGTACTTTGGTGCGTTGATGATTAACCCAACTGAAGGCTTAGGTGGCTTCTGCACATTACATTCTTTGAGGGATGTCGTGGACGGGAAATTCCCTTGGTTAGCGTCATCCCAGTTTGCAAATGATTGTTTACTTCCACACTTACGTCTTGTAAAACTCGAACACAGCGATTTAGGTGGGGTTGCGCTCCATAAACAGATGTCCACTGTAGATCCTCTCATCCTATAGGTGGCGTGCAACGCTTTTTCCAAACGGGCTCAATATTTGTGGTAATTTTTCAAAACAACTTCCTTTAAATTCTCCACCCAAACCGATTTCACTCATGATCCATTGTTTTGTTAACTTCCCTTGGATAAAATTTGTTCAGTCTCACAGATGACGCCCAAACAAACACGGCTAGAGCTCTTTACTTCTTTTTTCTTTATGACTCCATATTATTTTACCTTCAGGCCTAGAGGCGCTGGTGGGCGTTCTCAGCCGATACCGGACGGGCGCGCTGCTTCAGGGGACCATGGCTTCCAACAGGATGTGAGTGAAATGTTGTTGTCGTTTTGACCCAATAGACCTCAAGGGTTTATGGCTTGGGGCCATCACCGGTTTCACTTTGTGGTGATGAACCAGATGGAAGCTTGCCTAGTTTGTCTCATTTTGTTATGATTTCGCGCTTTTAGTGAAATGCAGCTACGAACATTTTAGGGTCACAAATATCCTGAGTTCCAAGAATATCAGTCAGCTTTTACCGTCTTTAGACTTTTGTTCTTATACTTGAAAGTTCTTTTGGGGTTAAGTCAAGTGAGGAAGCCTTAAAAAATGCCGAGTTATCTTAAGATGAATGTGTCGATCTTACGCGCCATTTATTTCGCTACTGAACTACTTATCTGGGAAAATATCACTCAGTAAGACTATCCTGTCGGTTTCCGATGAGAGCCATCAATCTGTCGTGCGGTGGAAATGTATGATTAATCCTTTCGCCTAGTCGACGCTACTTATGCCAAGTCAGTGGGTGTCCGACGAGGATACTCATTTTTCCCATTCTTACTTAATTTTGTAATCGACGAGATGAGCGCTAGAAGGTCTTCAAACGGATGTTTAAACAGATACCGACGAAAACTTTTTCTGTCTGGAGTGTGCAGATGACATCGTTCGCGTGTTTTTGGATAAACCGACCAAAGTCACTTGATCATTTGGTATTCGCTTTTCACCAACAATGTGTAAGATCATGCTTTCGAACATGCAGTCACTGAAGACGTCACTTGCAACCAAAGGAGAGACACTTGAGGTAGTGGATCGTCTTACGTATCTTGGGAGTTTTGTTAGTTCCGATTATAGTTTGATGAGGTCAATGCAGGATTCTGCAAGGCTCGGGCTGCGCTTGCTAATTTGAGACACCTGTAGCGGGAACATGTCCCTAAAACTCAAGGGGCATGTGCATCAGGCTTCAGCACATGCTGTTTTCTTGTATGGCTGGCCCATTTGAACAGCGGAACTGAGATGTCTTCAGATCTTTGACAACCGCTACCTCGGAATCGCAGTTCGTGTAGGCTGATGTCGGCGAATCCCCAAAGAGACAATTAGTGACTTATTCGGTTCTGCGACGGAATTCAATCGAAGAATGTGTGCGGCACCGGGTGCTGTGGTTGCTAGGCCTTGTATTGAGAATGCCGAAGAGAGTATTATTTTCTGTACCTTAGTCAAATTGGCGCCAGCGGGGAGATGAGCAATCTTTGGCCTGGCATGGGGACATCGAAGTTATTACGTAAAGTATGGGTGGTGCTTGTGGGGCTTATCTCCAGATATTTGGACCGCGTGATCCCCACTGTGCATGTTTGGAGATCCTGCAAGACGTGACCACTAGTCGATGTCACTGGCGTTCTTGTCAGTTTCCATTCATATTTGAATGAGTTGTATGCACCTCGGAATGACTGCACTAAGTCCCTTCCTGTTAGGCGGAATTCCACACCGAAAAGCTTTACCGCCAGCAGTTAGGCGCTGCTACGGCCGAGAAGCCTGTTCCGCACATAGCTGGCAAAAAGTTCGGGCCGCTTGCAGACCTGATTGGTCGAAAGCCTGGACCCTACAACCAGTCATGATCATTCACAGAATGCCGGTTGTCAATGGCGCATGCAGAAAGCGTCAGGAGTTCCAGAATGTTTTCGCGGCATATGCTGTACAAGTGTTTTCGGCATGGTTTTGCGCGTTATTACACCTTGTGTACCTTGCGTGGTTGTTTTGACGCGAACGCTGGCTTGGGTGGTTAAGACCGAATACTAAGCCGCGAGAAATACCGTTACTACACTTTCCCATCCGCTTTTAATCTTCGCAATAGGGCTTTCGAATAAATTGTTCTTATAGCAGCGAAGAATCAATGTTGAACGCTGATTTGATGCTGTCGATGTTGAGATCAACGTGGGTGGCTGGTCAGATCGTTGCCTCTGGCGTTCGGTTTCTGCCTGTTTTTCCTCTTCTCAGCAAGTGGGAATGTAGCAGCTGGGACCAATGGGTAGCTTGTAACTAACACAGACTAGGGCTAGTCCCAGACCCATGATGTGATGCCCACTCCAGGACGATTGTAAACTGAAAACGTGTCTTTTCACATTCATTCAAATTGCATAACATAACATGATGGTCCAAACTGTACCAAAAGGGCGGAACTCTTAGCATCGTTGCGTTACGCATAGTCTGTATATAACAGGTTTACTGAACTATGTCTTCATACCGGAGCCAACATCTATTCGTCGTGTTCCCACTACTTTCCTTAGAATCGCCCTTCTGGTCAAGGTCCAATGCGCGCGAGCACTGGTCGTGGTGGTTCTACGGGGATGCGTGGTGGTGGTCGAGGTGGTCGTGGAGGATTTGGCCACCCTTCTCTTGGTGGACGTGGCACTAGTGCCCCTTTTCCTCGCCGTGGTCAATAAACCGTCGTTCTTGCAATCGGTCACTAGAAGATCACAAAACTCGCATTCGGTGTCGTTCTCTCCGCCCATCTTGGATCAAGGACTGGCCTTACCTTCCCCAGTTCCCACACAATTGTGTGCATGCATCAGACCTCTTCCTTTGTTCTTTACTTAGAACAGTCTTGTTATTGGGTCACCTTGGTGGGTTCCTGTATGAAATCCAGGTCCTTTTTCGTTCGCTCGTTCGCTCTTCCCACATTCATCGAGAGATGTGATTTTTGCTGGATTTAACCTAAAAGTGTCAAGCGTTGCTTTTTTCAAGTTCTTATTGCCGGCACCCTGGGATAGTGTGGCTGCATGCTTCGGATCACCAAGTAGATAGGCCGCCCAGTATGATACTTGGTGTGCACCATCACGCCCCTTGGTTCAAACGGCCATGAACCTCCGACTCTCATCCATGAACGGCTCAATGAGGACCTATTGTAAGCTTTGTGTTATTGTTGCCTCCCGCTTTTTTCATTCTCACTTGATTCTTCAATAATGGGGCCTGCCTCTATATGTTTATCATTTACGTAGCTAAAGCTCAATTTGACTGCTTCACCGACCGGGATGAGTATTAGCGTCTGTTGCCCGACTAACATTCCTCTGTACGTGAATTTACCCTCTATTCCTGCTTGTTAATGCGCCTATCTAAAAGAACCAACTAGTTCCCGTTGTTTGTGGAGCCTTAAAAGGTAACCACTGTTCTCGGTTTTCACTTCATCTCAGAATACAACGCTTTCGAAGATGGGGGTCAAGTTTGTTCGAAAGTTTTTTTTCGGTGGTTTGAAGTGGTGTCACTGGTCTGTGATCGGGCGCTCATCCCTTTGACATTGGGTCTCAATACCACAGTTGAAGTTTGTAAGCGAATCCGCGACACGTTTCGGTCGCGTTGCACGTAATCTGTACAAGATATCGCCACGAAATTTTAGAGTTGAGCGTTTGTTCGGAAAACCAGAATCACTGTGCGGCTGTTTCGTCCTTATTGGGAATCATCCACGAACCTCCAGGGCGATGTGAGCGCGTTATCTTCCAGCAGGTATTTGAAGGCATGGCCGTTCGGCCACGAAGGGCCCATCGGCAGCGACTGATTCGCAGGTAGACAGGATATAGACCCCCTCATCTATCCTGGGATTTACATCACATAGTTACGTACTGACTGGTACATTAAAGGACGAATTCACTCACTGTTGGTATCATTCTTCCTCTGAGTTAGTCGTGGAGCCAAGTTCCACTATCCCTGAGAATTTTCATAATACACATTGTTGATGGTTCCTGAAAGGGATTGAATGTATTCACCATTATGATGTTCACTCACTGCAGAGTGTGGTTTACCATTTACAGCTCTATGGGCCTCCCTCGAACGCGAAACCAACCGATCTGCCAATGGAAACGAAATACGAACGGTGTGAATTCGGCGCTTGAATGAGTGACTGCAAAACAAAATGACTATTCAACTCCAGTAGACTCTTACAGCGGTCCATGTTCTTTATCGGTGCAAGGAGGGTGGTCCCGCATGACTGATAATACGATTGGGCATAGTCTCCGAACTCGCAATCACAAGACTGATCAGAAGAAAGGTCCAAGATATGAAAAAATGAGGCAACACTAGGGGTAATCAGACCCTTTCGAATTTGTCCAAGAAAACCGACAGTCACTAGAGTCATCTAGGCTCAAAAGTGCAGTCCGAGTTTCGTCTGCTTCGTCTGATGGAACACTTGAAAAGCACTTTAGGTGATTTGCGTCGTCCAGTCAAGTATCAACGCATCAGCTTTAGTATGAGGCTTGAACTGTCCATTTCCTGTGGCAGGGTCAAAAACGCAACTGAAGTTTTGAAGAAAAGCGGAGGAACTGGTCGGACTTCCTACCCTTCCCTTGCTTAGGAAAGCGAGGACTCGTTAAGTCAGACAAAACTTGTGTGGAGCATCCGGAAAGCAGACGAAGCGTTGGGAACGAAGGGTATTTGCTGTCATGTCTCTTTAGGAAAAGATGTTTCTGGATCTGAGAATCACCTGGGCGTCGGCCTTATTCCCGTCACTTAAATTGCTCACAGGTATTATCCTACAAACGGCGATCCGTCCAGACTTGTATTGACCACATCTCTACCTTGGGACGGCTTGCGCATCGCCGCACATAGATGACCAATGATTGCTGCCTTAGATCTAGAAGTGTCATTTAATGCTGGCGATCGCACTGCATTTCTTCCTTTCAAAGGTCTTTCGGGTATTTTCATACTTTCTGATCCTTTTATCATAACAGCATGCTTAAATTGGCGGGGAGTATCCTCCCATTGCCCTGGTTCTTTATGAGCAACCTCCAAGAAGGGTCACCCTTCAACCGGTCCCGCTTGTTTTCGGAATCCAGTTGACGCAACGATCGCACGTTTTTTACCTCCTGAACAGGGATGTGCGATTGCCAAGTTTAGCCTGTTGGTATCCTCCGGTGCGTATTTTTAGTCCAGTGTTCCAGCCAAAATATGTTTCCCACCAGAACTTTACTCTTGGAAATACATTTTATTATTCGACGGGCATTTTTCAGCTGCTTAAGTTTTCTTACAGTGCCAGTGGATGTAAAACAGAACGCTACTAATCATTAGTTTAGCGGTACGCTTGCAGTAAAATGGAGTAATAATTGCAGCGGACCAGAGGGCGGGTCAGTGTTTTCTGCTTTGAACAGTTTTAATACGACAGAAATATTATCCGATGACTGAACAAACGGTACCTGCTGTAAGATCCAGGCAGCTAAGGATCTCACAGGACTACTGCAGCTGTCGGACTATACGCAGTTTGTATTCAGTGGGCAGTAGGAACAGGCGGACGAGGGCAGTAGATGCTGTATTGAGAACTATCAAGAACTGACTTTATGGACAAACGGGTTAATGAACATCATGAATTAAGCAAAACGTACAACCAATATCAGTGCAATCGACAGAAGCAGAAAAATAGCCAGTGAGGCAGCACGGCTTTCTGGAAGCAATAGTTAATAAGTACCGAATGCTGTACAAACGTACAGCTACGGGCAGTCAGACTTTAAATTGTCCGTATAGAGAGACAAGACGCGGAAAAGAATCAGCACTTTCGGGAGATAAGCTGTCTTTGGCTGACGGTGCGAGGCAGCAGCTCCTGTCACGTGCCAAATCGGATTGTGCGCTCAGACCCGTTTGAAATAAATCTCAAATAAGGTTATCTGGCAGATGAGGTGTGAAGGTATTACAAAAGATGGGGTCTCCGATGATGATTCAGTGTAGCCGGTAGCACGCTCGCCTACCATCCGAGGAGCTCTAAGTCAGACCCCAGGCTCATCCGTTTTTCTGTCAGAGGGGACACTCGAGCCTAAAAGTATAGGCAACAGATCTTGACATCAGTAACTAGAGAATAAACAGCAGCAAAACCCAGGTAACGAACAACAAGGAAACGAGGCGGTGTCATAACAAACGGCCGTGAATCACGCTACTCATGAGTTGTCAGGACAGAAGAAAAATAACTTGATTCGCAGGTGTCATTACCTATCGAACACAATCAGCGACACTTCTTTTTGATGACTAATCAAACTCCAGTTCTTTTTGTTGCTCGAATTTCCTGAATCTCCCTGTTGAAGTATATGGCAGCTTATGAAGAGGGTAACGATGCCGCACATAGAACGAAACGTTGATGCTTTGTTTTTTTAGACCTATTGAATTTTCCGTTATAAGGGGACATCGCTTTTGGTCATTTTGAGGCTCAATTTTTCCGGGATGTGGTCAAAATCAAGGCTCATTTACGGTCGATCGTGCTGTTTCAGGTCCGGCAGTATCGAGAAAGACGGGCCATGAGAACGATATACGTCAGTTGTGCGCTCTCAACGTTCCAAGGTTTAGCCAATTCATGCATATAAAACCTGGTTGTTGCGCTTCTTGGGGTAGAATCTCCCTCACGTGCCGCCATGCACGGTTTTGGTGAATTGGGCACTGAAAAGCATAGTCGTCATAGCCGACCGCATATCTCCGAGTAATCGATGCCGCTCCATTTTGCCGGAAGTTAGCACATATAAGGACGCACTCAGACGTCTAAGTATTTGAACGAAGATACGTTCTGGAAATGGGGCAAAACACTTAATAGAGGCGAAGGGAGTTCAACAGTAGAGCATTAAGCTGTGATCCCCAAGAGACTAGCTACAATCCTAATCTGGTATCTTGCTTGAACGTGTACACAATTATTCTTCTGATACGAACCGGTCATTCGTTGTTACTTTAACTGAGCAGGGAGCTCAAAGAAGAATCGGCGCATCCGAATGGCGTCGCATGACTCGTATTTCCAATATGTTTGTTGGTTACTTTGGCGCTGGCATACATAGTTCGTAGATCTGGTGAGTAATTCGATGCGCGGTAGTCAGGCGCCGGTAATTTGGTCCGGATATGAATTCGCTTGTGGCAGAATGGCGCACAGACGAGGAATCTTTGCTGTCTTAAAAGAGCACAGTAGGAAATCGGGGATCTGCTGTCCCAGAGGTTCGTAATATATTATTTCCTCCGCCTACTGACAAAAAAGAGTAGTGTTAGCTGCCGGCTGCCGTCGCTCTCTGCCCAACAGAAGGCATCTGTTTTTATAGCCAATCATCGATACAGGAAAGTCCATCGAAAACTGTGCGTCCTACTTTACAGCGGCCGTATGTTTGAGCGCTCCTTCACGATGATATTGAATTCTTGGAACAGAATGTTCTACGGGTGATCCTGTTGCGTTTGTACTTCCTGTGTATCGATGGGGTTACCAACAAGGACAGGGTGACGACGCCCGCTTTCGTCAAACGTAAATTCCATGGAAACTACGTTTTGTGAATATGAAACAAAGAGTGATGATGATTCCTGGTTCATGAAGATATGATATTGACATGAACTTAAATTTGCGTCGCAGCGGAAATCGTGCTCTTAGAGTAATTCTCCGGCTACTGAACAGCCCCACAATTCCACTTTGCTAACACAACTCAGAAACGGGTTCTACAAAATCTTCAGATGTATTTTTATTGTAATTCCCAGGGACTCTCCCACGGGGCACGACAAATGTGATTGCAAACACCTGTAGAATGTATGATGGTTTTCGAAAAAAAATTGACTATTCATAGTTTGGAATGTCTGCCAAAACCGTTTCCACTATATGACGTCAAAATCATCTCGCTTCCCTAATTCACTGGCCATAATGGTGCTCTGATTTACATTTGCAAGCATAAGTGTTTAGTCTAGATAACGGAAAGTCTATCAAAAACCGAGCAGATTGGGCCGCTGTTCTCCTATCCAGTCTTCAGTAGTGTCGAATTTCTAACACTTTCGTTAGTCAGGTGGACTCTGGCTGCCATAAGAGTTTCTGTATTAGGTGAGTTAAAGTTTCCTATTCCTGACGAGGAATCAGACTTTTGTCCATCAGTCCAGTAGGTTTGGTCCTTACGATCATGACTGGAATCCTTAGTCGTGAAAACACTTTTGGAAGGGGCCGTTGTATGAGGTTGGGAATTTGTAACCGACCACCGGAACGCTCAGTGACATGATTTATTCCAGCCTCGTAATCAACCGGTATTGTCTGAAGGAGTGTTGTGCCACCGGCAAATCATTCCCGTTAAGTGATGTCGACTTATCGAGCAAAATCCAGAATACTCATCTGACAGCCCTTCAGATGTCTGCCGTGATCGTTCCAAGGTGACCGAACCCTTATTTGCATGCTGACAAATTAAGATGACGATTATCTCGAACCGTAGAAATGAGGTGGTGTACTTGGAAACTGAATAT